GATGGTTCGGACCCATTTTTGGGTCGTCGGTCGATTCCGACCTCGCCTCCTGCGACATCGCCTGCCCGCTCTTTGGCGACAGCTTCCGTGCCTCGCTCCGATCTCGCGTCGACTCTGGTTGGATGTCCGGTGAAGTTGGTCCCCCATTCAAACTCATTCCGGACAGTGGTTGTTCTACCCCCAACTAAAACCCCAAGCATCTTTGGCCCTCAAAAAGGCTTCTCTTATGATTGTGTTTGCCTGCTTGCGTGTTAGTGTGTCTGTGTTTGCTTGGATATTTGGGTGGTTGCGTGTCTGCGTGTCTGCGTGTCTGACTGTTTGCGTGTCTGCGTTTCTGAGTGTCTGCGTGTCTACGCGTCTGCGCGTCGGCGGGCTACTGCGCTTATAGGCTTGTGGGTTTGTGAGCGTGTGTGTGTGTGTGTGTGTGGGTTTGTGCGGTTCAGCATACGTTGTGCCCGTTTTGGCATGGTTTTGGAGAGAAGCCAAACGGAAAACCACCTTTCTGTTGAGGTCCGAAACCTTGCACTGGAGATCGTAGACCCCGGATCAAAGATTTGACCTCCCCCCTCAACTGTTGGAGCACCAACCACGGATTACCTGAAGTTTGGGCGTCATACCGCCACATGAAAAAGTGGAACCGCCCTCTTCGTGCGCTTTTCGGTCGAAGGACCTGGCTCAAGACGCGATTCCTGCATCATGCTCCTTTTCAGCTTGTGGAGCCCTGTGGTTTGGAGGTTGGGTGGTTTCCCATTAGAGATCCCAAAGCTTTGGGCTATGAAAATAAGAGAGAGAGAAGGACGCCCAACATGTCTCAAACGAAGCTTCCCGCAATGAGTGTGCTGCAGTTTCCATTTCTAGAGTCCATGCTTTCTCTGCGTTCCAAGAAAAAAATAACCCAAACACGCTGCGCCGGATCGGTCAGAAACTCCACAGTCCCCAAGAACCCCAAGATGATTGCTTAAGATCTGAAGCTGCCGAAAAAAAGGCGATAGTCAATGGCTACCTTTCCTGGCACTCAAGAGCGATGTCAGGAACACACCCCTTTGGATCCGTGAGCCGGGTTGAATCGAAGCCTGCATATCCTAAAACAAAACTTGGAGCGTACGGGCCACGGAATTTCCGAATCTGACGGATGTCAAGGGCCCCGCAAGCCGCCTTGCTTAACCGTTGAGGCTCGGCCCAACCCTCTAGAAAACGGCTTGGATGTGGCTCTTTTGGATCCATTCTCGTAGGACAACAAATAAGACTACTAAACATGTCACAAAAAGAACCAACAGGGGGAAGACGGGTGAAACCCGCAAAGAGAAAAAACAACAAAAAACGCGAAGCTAATCCGTTTTCCAGAGCAATCTAAGACCCAACGGCGAAAAATTCGACGCTCAATCGGCCGGAAACAAGAAACCTTTCGCCAAGCCACTGAGCGGATGGGCGACCTGGCGCTCGTCGCATCGGAACCCGCGAGCTCTTGATTTATCGGGGGCCCAAGCAAGCCAGCAAGCAAGCAAGCAAAGCAAAGCAAGCCAAGCAAGCCTGGTGGTCGCCAAAGGGGACGGAGCACTGCGCTCAAACCTGGGTCGCGAGAATCCAAAACCCGGCGGAGGATGCCCAGGGCTTCCAGGTGTCATGGGTGGGGGGGGCGTCTGTGTTGTGAGGGTACCTTTTTTTGGGTTGTTTTAAAGGGAAGCCAAAAGGAAAACCGGGTCCCCCAAAAGAATATGACAATCTACCCCTGAAAGCTTCAAATACCCAGCTGTGTTTGGGTTGGTATCTTTGGGAAAGCCCAAAGAGTGTGTTTCCTTTCTCTTCCGCGGTGCTCCCTTTTAAGCCTGGGACCGGTTGACATCATATCCCAATCACCGAAAGAGGTGGGCATAAGAAGCGCGTAGCCAGGTGGGTTCCCTCAAAGCCAGACGTCGGCTGTGCAAAACTAGCGGCTGCTGCTTGGAAACCAAAGGCAGCCATGGCAAATGGGTATGAAGTTGAAGTGGGCATCCATTTGGGTGTGTCTTTATTTAGGAGCCCTCAAATGGGTGGTGTTCCTTTTGGTGTTCCTTGAAAACCACAGAAAAAAAGGTATCATCAAACAAAAGACACACCCACTTGCTGGATAGCATTCAAACACTTTATGTCCACCCACTCATGAGGGGCAAGCCCTATTCAAAGGGTTGATTTCCCATTCCATTCACGAACAACTTAAACTCCTTCAGATTAACATGAAACCCAAGGGCTCGAATCCTCAAAAGGAGATCGCTGTTTTGGTTCCATGTTCTTTTTGATTCGGGGAGTAATTCAGACCATTGCCTGTGGCCAAAGCTTATACCATATTTGCCAGTGCTCTTTTGATACGGCCGGTTAGCTCTCAAAGATTGCACGGGAAAAAGGCAATGCATGGTGTTTGTTTGGAAATCAACCGCATCTACTTTGTGCTCGGCACAGCCCAGTTCCAGCAACAATACTGCACCCACCTGGCTTTTCTACAGTGACGCAAGAAAGCCCTGATCAGTGGCCCATTCACCGGCAACAAGAGCTGCAGGATTCGAATTGCCTGATGTCAAGAACTTGCTGGTGCTCAGTAGGGAATGAGGGCATGACCCCAATAAACCCTCCCTTATGGTTTCCTGTAAGGAAATCTCCAGGTTCATTCCCTCAGCTGAGCACCAGTACCATCGAGACGACTGGCAGCTCCTTTTCTTCGGGCCAAGTCAGGGCGCGATTCTTCTCGAGTGGAACTTCACACCCCTTCGTGGTGAGAACCTTTCCGTGCCGCCTGCCCCAAGAACCGAGGCTCGACTTTTGTGCGATACACGTGTATATACAATATGTATACCTATATTATATATATATATATATGTATATAAATACAAGATCTGCTGTGTCTTTGCCGACCAGAACCAGCCACTTTTCCTCAAGCCCCCGCAACTTTGTTGAGGTAGGAATTTTGTCGAGTTCCTCTCCTTCGGAGAGATCCTCGTTGAAGCCCAGCGCATCTTCGCCGCTGTCGCCTTCACGAAGACATGCACTCCAGCGACTCCTGGGCCTCCGCAAACGGACCAAAAAAGAGGCTGGGGAAACTGTACTCAGATGCCCAGTGGCCATGGGAAGAAAAGGGCATCCTTTTTTGGTTGGTTGAGTTTAAAAGGGGAACCCTTCCCCCCAAAAAAGGCAAAAAGGGCGCCACTGGGCAACAGAGTGTAGACATGGGGGTTGATCAATATTCCATGTCGGGCCCCAGTTTTGACCATGGGTAGCTCATCACAGTTAGCGGCTCAACTATGATCTCTTGCCGATCTTTTTGCAAGCAATGGACATCCCACGTAAGACCTTCTGATCAACCCCTACATCCTCAAAGTCAACCTCAACTGGTTGGAAACCTCCCCCCCAAAGATAATCTTGAGTACACCTTTGGACCCAACTGGATTCGTGAGGGCCCCCGTGACTCACTGACATTTGCCTCCTCACTTCCTGCGCAAAACACAAGTCCTAACTATTCTTGTTTACCTCTAAGATAGTCCAATCCCAAAACATGACCGAAGTCGCAGTTTGTTCTTCTGGCTATCCCAATATCCTCACCTGCGATCGAGATGGGCCAAAAAAATGATTAAAGTCCATGAACCCAGGCAGTGAGCTAGGGGCTAGCGACCATTACCCCACCAGCCGAGCGTTATGCCAATCCAAGCCTTCTTTCTGGTTCCCTGATGGATCCCATACTTGCTTGTTGTTGACCCCTCTGCAAAAAGTTAAACATGTTTGTGGGTCCAATGGAAAATCCGTCCTGTTTCCAAACTAGTGGGTACTAACCCCTAAAGTCGTATGCTAATCCAAACCACTTGGGTTCCCGGATCGATCCCATGGGTATTGCTGTGGATGGACGAAATCCTGCACCCCTTTGAAACCATGCTTGGAACCATAACGGTTGTTGGTAAATCGCAGGGGTTTCTTAGAACGGTGCTGCGAAAAGCTGATTTCGCAACCATCGACCGTAGCCAGTCGTATATGAGTGCTATGCATCTATGATATAAATTTGTATCTATGTATCTATGCATCATGGTAGACAACTTGGGCTGGCTAACCAACTAACATGGCAACGAACATCCAAGTCACCGAACCACCCTCCCACTCATTCATGGCAACTGACACAGACCCCCAAGAAAAAACGATCTTCCAGGTACCCTTCCACGGGTGCGATTTGTTTGGAGGGAGGGTGACCTAACCTGGCGAGCAGAGTGATACTGTGGATGGCCGAAATCCATTTCGCACCACTTTCAAACCATTGGAGACCAGAACGTTTGTTGGTATTGAATCATCATCCCAGGGTTTCTTAGGTGGTGCAGGATTTCGTCCATCCACAGTAGTGGGGACCACTGCAATGTTTTTTGTGCCAATCCAAGCCACCTTGGGTGCCAAGAGATCGAATTTCCATGAGTTCTCCCGGAGCCTCGAGGTTTGGTTTGGACAAATCCTTACATGGTGGTTGTATCACATTATTTTAGTGTCCAGGTCCTCCAGACTTGAGAGGTTAGAATAAGGGTACCTGTTTTTATTTTCTTCTGTAGTCTATTTTAGTAGGGGAACCCTCCTAACCAAAAAAGGGGTGAAAAATGGCACCTAGCCGGGGGACCTAGTAATGGTGGCAACTGCTGCAACTGAACCCCAGGGCCCCCCGCTAGGTGGGTATATCCATTATTTTCATGGTGGCCACTGCCTGCAACTGAACCCCAAAAACCCCCCAAAACCTTCCTCCGCTTTCGCCGATAATTCGCCGGGCCTCACTTGCCTTTAATTTTTTAATGGTGGCAACTGCAGCTGAGCCCCAAAACCTCCCCCCCTCCAAAAAAAAAAAACACGAAAATTCGCTCAGCTCGCTCCGGCCTCACTTAACCTTCTCCCCAAATCGGCCCCGACTTCGCCGTTCGCCCGAATTCGCCTCACAACTGCACCCCCAGAAACCCCCCGAAGCCCACTTCCCTCGCCGGTATTCGGATTACTTTCGGATTCGCGCCTCACTTGGAGGAGGTCAGCACCTGCACGAAGTCCCCGGAGAACTGCCGCGCCGCCGCCGTGCCCGCGGAGATCCCCACCGAGACCGCGAGGCCCACGAAGTAGGCCGGCGTCAGCGCCAGGCCCAGCACCTCGCGCCCCGGCGAGTCGCGAAAAGCCGAAAATTGGAAGCAGAAGTCCAGGGAGGACCCAACCCTTCGTTAAATGCGGCTGAGTGCCCGCCAAAGGCGAAAATCGAAGGTCGCAACCAAAGCCGAATCAGGACTCATGTAAAGTAGGAAGCCGGAGATCGGCTGCTGTTTATGGCCGGGATCTTTTCTTATCCAACTTCTCGGGGGTTGATTGTGGCTCAATTGAAGAAATTTCGAGCCTCGGAATTGCCCGAGCCCCCGAAGTTCATGGGCTACAAACAAATGAGGACAACCCTGGCCTTGATCTTCCAGGACCCTGGAAAAGCAGGCATTTGGCCGAATTTCCATTTGGAGCCGAGATCAAAATCAAGAAGGACCCTGATTTTGCGGGTCCCTTGGAAGACCAAGGTGATTTACATATGATGAAATGGGTGAGTGTGTGTGTGTGTGTGTGTCAAAGGAATCAGAGCCTTCAACACTGGCTTCCGTGTCCCTTTGCTTTCCCTTGAAAGCCATCCCAAAAGGCAACCGAGCCTCAAACGACACACCCAAATAGACCCCTGAAAGTACCTGAATAACCCCGGAGTTCTTTGAGAACTCCCGGTTTTTCCTGCTACACACCTCCTTCTTTTCAGTCAGTGACATCATACCCAACGGGTATTTGGAGGGGACGCAGTGCTAAGCCAGTGATCCAGATACCTGAGACACGTTGGAAAAAAAATCAAGCATTGGGTGCTTTTTCGAATAGGAATCATTGTCCCGTTTTGGGATGCCAAGAGAAAACCAACAGGATACCTACCTGAAGGGGTCCCCAATTTTCAGAAACACCCTGATGGGTTCCAATTAGAGCCGCCCAAACACCCGAGCTGACGTTTGGTTCTATCGATTGACATGGTGTCTTCTTTTTATGTTAGCTATGGACGCACACCTTCGCCCGGACACAACAATCACGCTCCAGGTTGCCCCTAAAAGAGGACATTCATCCATACTGTGGACTCACGAAATCCATTTCGCACGCTGAAACCATGGGGAAACCATAACGTTTGTCGGTGATTCTAGGGGAATCGAATCATTCCACGGTTTCTGAACGGTGACGCGAGAAGCGGATTTTGCAACCATCCACGGGCGTCCTTTTGGGGAAATGGATGGCCCTTCAAAAGCAACCACAAAGGAGACGCTGTGTTCATGAGTGCGCCCCAAATCCCCCGGTTTGTGCGGGAAAACTTGGGAGAGTTGACGTTGGAGGAGCAAAGATTTGAACAAATTTGCAGTTAAGTGGGGTTGCAATCACTAAACCACAATAAGCAAGACCGTAAAATGTTTTCCAACAACAACCATGCTTGGGAGAGTTGAGCGCGTCTTTGTTCGAGTTGGCACTGCCCTTTTGGTTGGCTTTAGAGGGAAATCCTAAGGAAAACCCAAGCCATTTTGGGAAATCCAAACTCTAAACAAAGACACACCCAGTTTGCGCAGAAAATGCGGGACACGCAGCGCCTACCAGCACCTTCCCCTACTTGTTTCAGGGTATGTGTTGAAAGACATGATTTTCCATGTTAAATATCACATCTCCTGTAATGAATACCCTTACACCAGTACCATTCATGAGCTTACGTTATATCTGAGCAGGCCATTAACACAACATGCAGTTTTTGCCCCCCAAGCAGAAAAGATCCGTCTGATCTTGGTCCACACCAATTGATCTCTAATCTGTACAAGTTTGAAAGAGATCCCAGAGATAGGTACATGAAAAGTCGCCGATCCTTTACACAGGAAACTCTTCTTTGGGGGGCCGTCTTAGGCTCCATGTTGGAGCACCTGAAATGAGTCGGCTGTCGCAAGCAAAGGACCTGTGCCATGGCCAAATCGAAATCGCTTCGCCGTTTGCCCCCCAAATCCCTCGGCTTCACCGAGACCGCCCTCGCTGAATGCCAACCCGCGCCTTGAAGTTCAGC